ACTTCACACCTTCCTGAGCAATTTATGTTGAACACTTCGGCACCGAAACCGAAGTCAAACAGGGCAAACATTTGTGTGGTGTATTACCAAGTCACCTTGAACTATCTTTGGCCTCAATGAAGCCCTTGTACTACTACTCCAGTATTGGTGAAATTATTAAGGCCTCTCCACGTAGTTAAAAGGGAGGTTTATTTAGTGGCGTAACTTACAAGTGAAGGGATAGGTAGGTTGCAGGGTCTGGGAAAGACGTAGCACAGTCTAGCGGTGTTCTCTGGAGAACTCTGCTCAGTCTGCCTCCAGGGTCCAGGGTCCGGGCACCAAATGAAAGGGGTGCATCTGGATCGCGGGTCTTCAGGGTCCTCTCTTGGCCCCGCCTTGTAGGCGTGACAGTTACCGAAGCCTCCATGGGGGTTGGAACTTCCAGGTCAAAGCTGGAATGGCTACCCACTACACTCCAGCATCATTAGTAGATAGAGGCGAACCTTGTAAGATGTATGACAGTGCAGACTACCACCACCAGTGCCCACTATTCAAAATGAAAAGCACTCTGACTTAGAGCCACACACTGAAAACAAAAAACAAACAATCAAAATGAAAAGCAGTTTTATAAATCAGCCACAAGGGTGGCAAACCATAATCCCCTGCCAACAACTATTATAACTCAGTATCATAACCAATAATATAGAGGTAACACAATTTAAAATGAACAGAGAAGTTGTATAGATACTTACCTGAATGAGATAAACAAATAATCAATAAGCAAATTGACAGTGCTCAGCATCAGTACTCACCAGAGAAAGGAAAACTTACTAATTTTTCTCACAAGAATGATTATAATAAAAGGCCAAATAACAATACTGCCAAGAATACAAAGGAATCCAGAATACCCGTGCAAAAATACAGTAAAAACTTCAAATTGTATAATCAGAATAGAGCAATCTTCATAGTAATGGAGTCTTTAAGTAAAAAAATATTTTAAAGCAAATGTTACTTAGAAAACTTCCTATTAAACATGTATTTGGATTTAGATTTTATAGTGTTTAATGACTTATCTAGTCAATCATTTAACATATTGATTAGCACAAATTCTCAAATTCATTCTACTTCCCTTATTTTCCCATAAGTTTTAGTTAGTCCTCATTTTTTTAATGTCTTGAACAGACTAAGATTAATGATGATGTTAGAGTTACCTTTATGGCCTCAATATAGAACTGCTGACATTCTCTTCATCTTAGATTTTTTTCCTTCTCTCTGTGTCACTCTGCCTCTGTCTCTGTCTCTCTCTGTCTCCCTGTCTCTCTGTCTTTGTCTCTATATCTCTCTCTCCCCCTCCCTCCCTCCCTCCCTCTCTCTGTGCACCCATATGTGTCCATGGGCATGCATGTGTATATTTGTGCAAGCCCATATGTGCTCATGAATGTAGAAGCCAGAATCAATATCACACGTCTTCCTCACTTGCTTTCTACCTCACTTTTTGAGACAAGTCTTTCACTGAACCTTGAGTTCACCGATTTGGACAGACTGACAGGCTTGGAGCCCCTGAGATGCTTCCTGTGTATCTATCCCCGACACTGAGATTAAGAGCTGTATATAGCCATGCCTAGGTTTTTATGCAGATGCTGGGGATCCAAGGTCAGGTCTGCAGTCTGTATTTTACCAGCCAATCCCTGTCTTCATTGTGATCTCTATTGACTATACTTTTTAAGATCTATCTGCTTTTGTTTTTGTTTTTCTTTGTCCAGCCCCCTTTCTCTCTCTTACTAATAGTAACTATTCTTTGACTTTTATCTTTAGTGCTCTATATTTCTCTCCTTACATTGTCTGGGTGTTGAATCTGCTTGTTGGTTCTATTTTAATATCTATGCTTCTTCAATACTTATGCTTCAAATCCTCTCTCTTTTCTATTCTACCTGGACTGAACCCTGAGGTTCACTGATGCTGGACAAGCAGTCTACCACTGTGTTTCCCCTCCATCCCCCAAAATATTTTTAATTCATCCCAATACATATTTAAGATTATCTACTCCATGGTTATTTCAGTGTATCTAAAAGCAAACACACATTTAACCAGTGTTTTTTTCCTCCATATATTAGAAGTTATTCTGAATATAGAAAATACCATAATAAACAAATGAGAAATTTTACTTGCTGATGATATGTTTATGTTTCATTAAGGATAGATAGACAGGTATCCAAATGAATTCTAAAGATCATTTCGGGTCATGTGAAAGATTGTTATGCTTCTACTAATCTCTAGAGTTATGTTATAGGCTTGTACAAATTCTAGTAGTAATATCCATGCTGATCTGTTTAACTTAATCTCTCTATCCTAAATTAATCTTCCTAAAGCCTACGGTATAAAACAATTTACCTGTTTTATGCTTATGATATTTCATATCTCTCTAATGTCAGAGGATCCAGTACAATTCTGCATCTTCACCTAAAACAACCTTTCTCCTTTGGCCACACCCCTTATATTACCACCAAGGTCAATGCCCACTGACCTACAGCCTCTACACTAGCTGACTTGAGTCACTAACTTTTGGAAAGTTATGCATACCTTTGCTCAGAATACTTACTGTTTGGGGTATGTTGGTATTTTGAAATGATGCTAACTTTGGCAATAAAAAGATATGCCCTCATCAAGACAAACAAAATACAAGGTTATTAGTCATGGTAGTAGTCTAATGTAGATGTTCTTAGTTGGAGATAGTTTCACCCCACACAATGTTTCATGATCTGGGTTCCATTTTTCTTACGAATCTATCAACCCCTGGAGCCCCAAAATCACTGGCACCTGCCATACAGATGAAAACAGGAGAAGGAAAGGGTGGCCCTCCTGTGTAGTTAGGGTTTCGGCCTAGAAATGGAACACCACTTCTGTTCACATCCCAGTGGGTAGGCCTTTTTCATATTGCATGCCCAACTGCAAAGGAATCTGGAAAAAAACTGGCCAACTGTGAGCCCAGACAGCAGAGAAATTAGGCTTATGTAAACCTAGTAGCTTTCACCACTCTGGCCTACCTAATACTCATGAAACATAATTCACTTATTCATTAAAATCAGACCAGATTCTCCTTTTTCTGAAAACACTTTATAAATACTCCAATTTGGAGTAAGAATCCCTTTTCCCCCAATCCCAGCACATACTGTCTTTGTGACGTGTTTTATATCTGTCCTTGCTATACTACAAGTGTTGTTTTCTTTTTTGGTGCTGTTTCTCTTTTCATTACCAGTAAAATTAAAGGTCCTTGATGAAAAGAACTATAGCATATGATTTGGAGTGGTTCGTCTATTCATTCAATGTGTGTTTGTTGAATGACTGTTAACCTGTAAGATAGTAGCTGGTATTATGGTGAACATAGAAAATAATAAGAAACTTCACTGGATCTATGTTGTTATTTGCAATGCCATAAACAGACTCCCTAAGCCCTTTAAGACGTATTTACTGCAATAGATTCAAGCATGCCATGAGATGTAATATTACTCCAAGCAGAATACTATATAAATGAAAGGGAGTGTCAAAGATTGCTTTCTGAATTGAAGGAACCATAGATTATAAGTCAGAGACTTCCCTACCATTAAAACAGATTCAGAAAAACTGTAGTCAATAATGAAAATATTCTACATCATGTTGCCCTCAGCAACTGAGTCATATTTTAAAAATAACATTCTTGGCCAGGCATTGCAATGTATACCTTTAACCCCAGCACTCCGGAGGCAGAGGCAGGCAGATCTCTGTGAGTTCAAGGCCAGCTTGATCTACAGAGGGAGTTCTGGGACAGCTAGGGGTACACAGAGAAACCCCATCTTAAAGAACCAACATATAAAAAAAGTAAAAAAAAAATAAATTAACATTCTTTGGGGCTAGAGAGATGGATCAGTGCTTAAGAACACTGGCTGCTCTTTCAGATGATGCTGGTTCAATTCCCAGCATACACGTGCTGGCTCACAACCATCTGTAACTCCAGTTCCAGGGATCTGTTACTCTCTTCTGCCTCTGCAGGCACCAAACATCCACTTGGTGCACAGACATGCATGCAGGCAAAACATCCACATATATAAAAACATAGCAAAATAAAATAAAGCATAGTAAAATAAAATGAAACTTGAAAAGTAACATTTAAAATGAATATTCTTTGAGGAGGTCAGTGATGTTCTACATATTTAAAACTTGCTATTGCTCAGCTTGCACATCAAAGAGAGAGAAAAGGAGTTTAAAATGAATGAATAAAGAAAAAGCAGAATGCAACTGCTTGCTGTCAGAAGAATTTTGACCAAATCTATAGGAGACCATGTTGTTTAAAATAAATTAACCTTAAAATAGCATATTGATTTTTTATGGGTGTACTGCAAAATGAACGTGATAGACATTCAAGGAACAAAATATCCATTGGACAGGGCCTTTAGTCTTCTACAGCTAAGGACCATAAAGCTGAGACTATTTTCTGTTTCCTATCTGAAAAGACTCAGGAAGGAGCCTAAACAATGCAAGTAAAAGCAGCCCTTTCGCTCGCTCTTTTCTCACCCGCCTCCCAACTACTCCAAGATCTGTTTTTGCCACAACTTCATAAGTATTTCAATTACTTGTTCCCTGAACGGTCCTGCAGAGAGGCTCTGCCCCCAGCCCCCTTTTTATAGATGAAGATATTGAGGTTAAGTGATTTTCTCAGGGTTACAAAGAGACCTCACAGCAATGGGGAATGAGAAGCACTAGTTCACCCTTCTCGGGGATGAATAGATTGAGTTTCAGAGCCGCTTTGCTATTGTATTGCAAAGGAGCCACTCAAATGCCTGGCTGAATGTCTAAGTCCTAGAAATGAAAGGGAGGCCGCAAGGAGAGCATTTTCTTTCTCATTAATGACACAAGCAATTGTCTAAAGTTGGGGAGGGTGGAAAGGCCCTGTAGAAAAAGAGTCTTTTCTAAAAAAAGTACAAACAGCAGGATACTCAATTTGGGACCCTCTGTCAAGGAGACTGTTGTCATCTGTCTCCTTACAGACAGTGCTGCTGAGGAAGCTGGACTCCAGATTGGAGACGTGGTGCTGTCTGTCAATGGCACTGAGGTCACCAGTGTTGAGCATGCAGAAGCTGTGCACCTTGCAAAGAAAGGTAAGTGGGCCAATTACAGACTCCAGAGTTCACCGAAAATGCTGAGCGCTCAATACAAAGGAAGTTTGAATGTGAGAAGGTGGCAGATGTGGAGGGATGTCTTTACTGCGCTGTGATCAACATGATGTTTTATCCTAGTAATTAAACCTCATTTCTAAGTCATACACACTTTGTATTGGTCATCGCCAATAAAATATTTTGTCAGAAGGCAAAATACACTCTACTACCAAAACATTTCTTTAATTAAGAAACAAAGATATTTTCATCATAAGAATTTGTTTACTATTTATTTTCAGTTCTTTTTACATGTGCTCCTTCCCTTCTTTTTTTTCTTAACAAAGAAAGTTTGTAGAGGTAAAAATCTCAGGTTTTTACTGTGGTGTGTGTGTGTGTGTGTGTGTGTGTGTGTGTGTGTGTGAGAGAGAGAGAGAGAGAGAGAGAGAGAGAGAGAGAGAGAGAGAGACAGACAGACAGACAGACAGACAGACAGACAGACATCACAGGACTGAAGCTTTTAGAGATTCTCTTAGGACCACCTGAGAGACTGAGGACTGTGTGTCAAGCAGTTTCATCACACATGGAACCACCACAGTAGTGGTGCATCCCCTGCACCCTGGTGTCCATTCACAGTAAAGTTGTGGAGAGATTTATGCCTTTGTTCTCTCTGAAAAACAATTTTCTTCATCACCATGTTAGAAGTCCTTCAAGTCTCATAGATAAACACATTCAACTAGAAAATGCTTTGTTCTGTCACAGGATTATCTGATGTGGTATCTTATTCCTGAAAGCTATATGGATGCTGTGATGCTCCTGAATCATTGTTAGACAATGAGATATTACTTAAAATGTGCATTGGGAATAAGCCTCAGGTGCCCTGGCTTGTGTCAACAGACTTCTTTCATGCTTTGGGGTTACCCAGAGCTAAGAGTTCTCCCATACAGGCTAACATTTGAAAACCACCTACAAATGCATTCTGCTTAACTATTCCGAATTGTTTTCAGGTAGAATTTGGCTTGGTGCTTTATTGCTCTGTGAGATGTGTACCAGGTCTGCCAGGAATGCAAGGTCATTATCAGGTAGCATGTGCAATAACTCTCAAAGGTCTTATCCTAAAAAGTTACCCTTTCTGAAGCACGGCTTAGGAATCAGCTTTGTTATAATTACACTAATAAGTTGATAGTGGAAGAGAGTAAGGCAATGTTATGCATTATTTTTGTACTTAGCTGTTCTCATAGATAATTCCTTGTAATTTACGTTTTTGTGTTAAATAATATTTTCCTAATGCTTTTATTCCTAGTGGGTTTTTTTTAATTTTGTTCCAAAAAGCTTAATGTTGTTTATAATACTTAACCATTCCTGGAAATGAAAGGAAAACAGAGAACATCTCTGAAACTTGAATAGCGGAGTGTCTGGCTCCTGATAAAATGGTCACGTGACATTGACAGTTGGAGAAAAGTGACTTATACATCCCAGCTTGAGCTCATTGCTCCTGGGAGTTACTTGGAAGAGTGGGTTATACTCTGTTATAATCCTGGTTCAACCTTAACTTTCCTCTCAAAAAAAGAAAAGAACAAACAAACCCATAACCCCTTGTCTTTGCCAATCCTCAGACTCTACACTAGAGACACCTTCAAAGCAGAAGGTAAACTGTGGATCTAAGATATCAAAAAATAATAAAGAAAGAGACCGAAAAGGATAATGTCATGCTTGTATTTATTACAGAGTGGGAATTACCTTAAATAGCAGATGAGGACTCAGTATCTTGTGTGAGAAATAGGCTGGGGTGGGATATTTATTATTGACTTCGTCATTCATGTGCTCCTGGCAAGCCTTGTTCTACCTCAATATCATTGAATACTACGAAGTTGACAGCTCCTGTTATAGACAGTCAATGAGATGTGCCCACCTGGATGGAGGCATAGATCTCTCCATATTCACAGATGAAGTCCTGCATATACTTAGGGGTAACCGACTATAGCACAGCTTTGAGCTCAGAAACAGTGAAATCTCTGATAGAATAATTGAGAGATTCTCTGCGATTCTTGGTCACCTGCCATGAAAACTAACAACACAAACACAGCAGGCGGACCAAGGTAGCAGCCCAAGAGGTGTGCTGCCATGAAGATGACCACCTCACTCACCAGGAGGAACACCAGGGAGGGGTGCAGCTTTAAACTTGTTCCAGTGCATATTTCTCAAAATATTTTTAGCAATCCCCAAGCAGAAGATGTTATCTCATCGAGATACTACAGAATTTGGGAAACAGTGCAAGGAGAGAATGTCAGTGTAGGAATAATTTGTAAGAAGCAAGGTAAAATGAATACATCTGAGAGAGCAGACATTTAAAATTTAAAATAAGATCAATATACATCACTGAATTGGTCAAGGAGGACATTTATAGGATATGAAACAGAAAAGCAGTTGTTAAGAAGAGCCAGTTGTCAGTGCTAAGTATAAAGAAGACAAATGTTGGGGGGAAAAAAACAGTATGTGACCTGAATAATAAAATACATGCAATGGAAAGATCCAAGGTGATCCAAACTAGTGTATAAACTGTCACAGAAAGTGTCAAGGAGAAGGAGAGAAAGGAATAAAGGAAAGAAAAGGGAAGAGGAGGGGAGGGGAGGAGAGGAGAGGAGAAGGGAAAGAAGGGAGGGAGGGAGGGAGGAAGATAAAAGTCAGGCAGACATAAAAACAATTATAAACAAAGGATAAAACCAGAGGAATAACATAAGACTATCCTAATTAAGAATTCCTGAGAGAGAAAATTTAAATATGTGAAAAAGAAAAATTAGTGCATGTGTGTGTACATCCATGCATGTGTTTGTGGTGGGGGTGCACATGTATGTGGACAGTTGTGTGACTGTGTATGGGAAAGCCAGAGATCAACGTCAGTTGTCATTCCAAGTGCTCTCCACTTCGTTTTGTGAGACAGGGTCTTTTAGTAGCAGGAAACTCACTGACCTGTGAGGCTGGCTAGTCAATAAGCCCAAGATACTTGCCCATCTCTGCTTCTCCAGCATTGGGATTATAAGCACATGTTACCATGTGTGGCTTTTAAAATACAGTTTCTAGGGATCAACTCAGGTCCTTATGCTGAGCATGCACTTTACCAACCAAGCTATTGCCCTCGTCAACCAAGAAAAGTATTAGAAACAGAACAAAGCAAGCTGTTTCAAGGATCAATGAAAGAAAAAGAAATCAGAAAAGAGGTTATCAGATAGATGGGCATAAGAACTCTTAGGCAAGCAGACTATAGTGAAATTTAAGAATAGTAAAGAGAAAGAGAAGATATTTAAGCTTTAGGAGGGAGGCATTGTATCGCCTTTAAAGGAACTGAAATGCAACCAGACTTTGTAACAATAGCAAGTTCTAGAATAGTATAGAGTAATATTCTCAAAATATTAAAGAAACTCAAATGCAATGTCCACTTAAAGGATTATTTGATGTAAGTATATATGGCAAAGGGTTATTGGCGTTCATGACTTTAGAAAGATTATCTCGAGGAATCTCAGATAAAACACTTTGCCAAGGAGAAATATAAACCACAACAACTTTATATTAAGCATGAAAAATAGGTGCAAGAAAATAGTTTAAAATTCCCTATTAACCCTTTTGGTCCTACATTGACCAAAATAATTACTTAATAGAGTTAAATGCATTCATATAATTTTAATGTCCCAAACATAAAGAGAAAATCATCAGTTTCCTTTCATCTCTTATAAAGTCTACTTATAACTATGTAGCTTTTTATTGCCATGACAAAACATTGTAGTTAGCCAGCCCATAAGGAGGAAAGCTTTACTATGACCCATGTTTTCACTCCATGGTATTTAATGTTGATGCTTTGAATTGTGGAGATATCAGTTGTGTCAGTAGCATGTGCTAGAGGAGGATGCTCCCCCTGTAATAGCCAGAAGGCAACACACAGAGAGAAAAAAGGCCTGCAGTCCCAGTAAATGTTTCAAGATCCACCATCAATGAACTAACTTCCTTCCACTGGGACCTACTTCCTAAGATTGTCCATCTACAAACAGTGGCACAGAGCAACAACTAATCTCTGAGCATATAGGAATTTGAAGAACATTTAAGTTCTAAACCATTACATAACCAAACTCCCAACCATTAAAACAGAAAGGCATATACATATGAACAAAAATAGTTAACAGAGAAATCTTGGACAACTGACAAGAATAATGCTGATTATAACAGACCTGCTCATCATAATAACAAAAGGCCTGGCCAAGCCAATATAATACCTGCAAGAGAAACAGTAGTATACACTCTGAGAAAAAAAGAAGCTACCATTCTTACTGAAGATTATGAGATTACAAGGGACAGAAACTTACAACTAAAAGAGAATGACTTATTGAACTAAGATCTTCTATACAAATTGGTTGTCCAATATGATACGGACCACCCTAAAAACATATATATGATAACACTATGCAGGCTGAGCAGGTTATGTTTAGGGATGTATATGTTCACACATATGTACTGACAATTAATGAAAACAGATGCCACGGATTTGAAAGAGATGAAGATGGGTGTATGGGAGGGTTTTGAGGGGTGAAAAGGAAGAGGAAAATGATGTAATTATAATCTCAAAAATAACATAACTTTGTAAAATTCAGCAGGATGTACTTATGCTAACAACAAGAAAAAAGAAAGGAAGAAATTACATGTGATTAACAATAACAACAAAAATTCTAAATGTTTAGAACTAATCTATCAAAGAATAAAGAACTTATGAAAAAACATGACTCTCTTAAGGTCTGTAAAAGAAGAACCTGGATAGATATACAGCTCAATATAGAGTACTGTGTGCTGCATTTACGGCCTTGAGTTCAATCCTGTATGATGGAGGAGGACTAGAGATCTGAAAATAAACACTGTTCTTATGCATTCATAGGTATATATATATAATTCTCCAAAAATCACTATAAAAATTTAATGATATCACAATAAAATTATTAAATGTCTGGGTAGTTTGGAAAACT